TTAACTGAAGAATACACAATTTCTTCAAAAGCAAAAAAGTGTTACAAAATAATGTATATTCTATGCATGACTGAGGACTACAAGTAGCAGAAATACAGCTGCCATTTCCACCTTCATAATCTTTCCAGCTGTAACACCAACTGTAACATGTTTGATCCAAGAATTACTTTTAGTTTTTAATAAGTGAAATAAAATTTCATGACTCTAATAACTCCTTCTAAATTTGCAGTCTTTGCCTATGAGTTTATTTCTGCCTGTAAAAAAAATAAAAATGAAAAAAAATCACTATTCCATTCAACCTGTTTATTCATTAAGGGCACACTCTTAATACCTGAGGGATAACTTTTACTCTTCCCGCTGAAGTGACTCCTCAAAGCTGGCATTTGTTTATGCTCCTTCAAACCTTTTTTCAATAGTTTTAAATAACGCAAGAGAGTTGCAAAGAACTGAGCCCATGCCATTAAATTCTAGCACACGATGACCTGCTGACATTTCTTTCCCTTTATCAATATAAATTAGAAATTATCTCTTTCCTGCACTTGACATTCAAACAAATGATTGGGAAGGGAATAAGTGATAAAAGGAATAACAATTATATGGGTATGACACTACATAATTAGTAGGATAAGACTGGTAAATCTTAACTAAGTTTTCCAGGCCTAGCCTCCAAATTCCCTGGTTCCTAGTATTTGAAAGCTGCACTCAGACAGCTTACTATGAACTGAGTATTGGACTGCACGTTCGCTCCAACAATCTACTTCAGGCTTTCCTTGGGATTAATGAGAAATGAACACTTTTCAGCTGTTGTCACTTTGTGGTGGTGTTGTTGCTGTTACAGACCACTGCAGTACACTTATTTCACAAGGACTGTAGCATTCCAAAATGATCTCTCTCTATATCTAAAGTCCTACAATAGCCAGAACTGACTGATGATACTGAATATTGTTTCTCCAATTTTGAACACATTCAGTTTAATATCTAGCATGACCTCATACAGAATTACACATTCAACTTCAAATCAGAAGTCTACTACATAAGTCTGCTGCTCATGCTTTGGTTTTGCAGGATGACAAAGTGTTGCTGGCAAGAAGAAAACACTTGCCAAGTGCACATAGCTAAGCAGAAAACGTTTCAATTTATCAACTTGCTGCCCAGACTAAGTACATTGCCATGAGAAACCACAAGGTCACCACCTTACTCTGATGGATCATCAGCGTGTGACTGCTGACACACCTCTAATTTGCTCATTAAGGACAAAGTTATTCCACAGGCTGGAGGTCAGCAAAAAGCCAACCATTTAAATGGGTCTTATATAATACATCTCAAGAGCATTTGAGTTCTTCTTTTAAGAGCTTTAGTGATGTTTTTGAAGACTGAAAGGAGATAAAGAATTTGGCACGCCAAACCATGATCTAGTGTAAATATACTTCAGTTATCAAAGATTCCTGTACGTAAAGGAATTATTCTTGCATACTAATTACTACCAATGTCCTTTCACTGATACAAAGAGTTACTGCGTTCTACTTCAGAGCAGACAGAACTTAGTGGGAAGATTTATCTAAAAGCATCATTTGCACAAAATTTTGAAACTGTTTGAGATGTAGGCTGTTCACATAAAGAAGTCATAGAACTGTCAGAAAAAAATCTGCTGTTTTGGTAGCACATACGTTTTCAAATCTTCTGAATGTTGTTTGTTCATAGGAAAATGGTGGCTTCTGGGAAAAAATGAGTGGACCAAGACTCTTAAAATTTAATTTTAGCTTATGATTATGTTATATTTTAATATAGGTTACAAATTTTTATTTGCAAATTTCATAAAACAAAATGGAGAACTCAATCAAGGCCACAGCTCTGCCTTGTTTTTTCTTACGTAACAATAGTGTGATTGATCATTTTCTTTTCAAATTCTAAGCATTTGTTATTAATAAATGCCAATTTAAATTGGTATGCTTCAGTGTGTGAGTGAAATTAGAATTGGTAAGCTTGTCCTTAACCTAGTATCTCTGCTCTGGTATCTCAAAACTGTTTTCTGCTTACCTTCTTTTGTTTTCATGAAAGAATGAATACTTACAAGTTTGATATCATCAGTGGTCTTATCTACTATCCTAATTCTTACATGCTTATATATCAGGCTCTCTTTCATGACAGTGTGCAAAAGCACACACAAAAAAGTGCAGTTAGAGTCTGCAAAAGTGATCTGTTGCACCTACTTAACAAATGGATGCCACTTCGTAAACAGAAGTCAGATGACTTTTCTCATATTTACTTCCTGAATTTAAAATGTAACACTTAATTTTGAGAAACCAATGTACCTTCACCACAAGAAGGACCAAAGCCAGTTTTCTCTTACAGTACAACTTTACTAAGTCAAATTAACAGGAGGGGGAAAAGATTGCACTACCTTCAGAGCTCTGATCTCTTCCATTACTGACATTTCTTTTGCTTCTGCCTTTTTCCAGCTTTAAGTTTACGTCTTTGTGTTTCCACTCTTTCTTCCTCAATCCTTGAGTCTTATCTTGCATTCTCTATTCATATCAAACTTACATTCTCAGTCAGTCCCCAGTGTTCTTATATCTGTCCTGTCCCAATCTGTTCTTTTTCTCCCCTACTTTCTGTCCTTTTAAGTACTGGCATATATTCTTTCTGCTCTAATATCTGCTTTAACTTCTCAGAGCTAAACATTTTGCAAAGCTCAGAGATTTCCCACAGGGTTGCACTGCACAGGCACCAGTCTGCTTGTGCTTGTACTTAAAAAAAAATAAATAGTTCAGACATCACTTATTGCTTGGGGAGACAATATGTAAAAACAGGCTGAAAAGGATTGGAAAGCATATTCATTTTTTCTATGCAAATGACCAGAACACATCTTTTTGTTAGATATGGTGCTAACTGGAGATTAAAGGCAGATGTGGAAATACTTAATACTTGGTTGTATTAACCTGGTGGTATCCTTGAAAAAAAGTAAGTTCCCGTTTTCTGATGCTTTCCACTATTACTAAAAACTCAGTGCTAAGATCCAAAACTGCACTGAAAACAAGCTGTTAAATGCAAGTCTGACCTAACTCTAGCAGACTCACTCTGATCCAAGAGCAGTACAGGGCAACCATATTTCACTTCACAAAATTAGTTTCCCTCTTCTTCAGCACAGAGCCACCAAAAGAATGAAACACTGTGTAAAGTCCAAGTTACCTCATGGGAACAAACACTGCACAAAGCCAAGGCTTCAGTGTACTCCACTGAATTATAACACTCCAAAGAGTTCGTGGCTACTAAAACAAAAAAACAAACAGAACAAAACAAAACAAAAATTCTGAAACACAAAAATCTTGGTCATAAGAAATTCTCCCGAGACAAACACTGTGGTTCCATTGCATACTGCTCACTTGAAAAGGCACAAATCTGAGATACGATAAGGCTACACACTGAAATGTGCAGTCTCTTTGCATTTTGAGAAGTTTTGAGAAGGTTCAGGTTTTAAAAAAACATTTCTGCAACTCAGTGCCAGCCAGATGAATGCATTGTAATATCGTAACAATTCCAATTAAAAAATGTGCAGGATATAAAATTGACAAATTAGCCCTTCGATGGACAAATTACCTCAGATTAGGCATAGCCCTCAAAACGTATTTGCTGAACTATGTTCTGGACAGGTTTCCTAATATCTATTTGTCTGTAACAACAGAACAACAAAATTCTTGATGGGTTTGTTTGTTCCTTTGTTTTTAAATACAGCAATTAGCACAGAAATTGTAGCCCATAAATGTAGATTCTGGATGCTAGATTAATTACAAAATAACAATAAAAACAAAATTACTGAAGAAGACAGTAAGAACTTGGATAAAGTATTCTATTTGGTCTCAGTAGTTAGATCCAAACTACTGAATAAGGCAGTATTTCTAAGCTCCTAGGTTTGAACATGCAATTCAAGGGCACTCTGAGTTATAGAGGTAAAATTTAATTCTTGACAGCCTTCCTTTTTAAGCATTCCCCTTCTGCTGCAAATGCCTTCAAATTCCCCAAGATAGAGCTCTAAAGCATGAAATACATGACCCCTTAGGTATAACCACTATATTTTGATTTTTCTTGTGTAGCACTTTGGTTATCTAAAAAAACACATTCTGATTTGTGATTTAATAAAAGGGTAAATAATATAGGATAAGATACTGGCATCATCAATCTCACTGACCACTGCATGTTGCTTAGCTGAACTAGAACTTTACTCTTAACAGAGTATTCTTAACTTAAACTTTACTCTTAAGCTGCCTTAAAAAAAAGAGACAAAGAAAGAGAGAAAGAGAGGAAGAGAGAGAGAGAGAGAGAGAGAGAGAGAGAGAGAGAGAGAGAGAGAGAGGGAGAGAGAGAGAGGGAAAAAGGAAGAAAGAAAGGGAGGAAGAAAAGGGAATTAGGTTTGGATAGACTATTAATGCTGGCCATAAAACTGAAAAACCACTCAATTCAAACCACCTTATATTCTAGGAAGTCCAGTGTGTGCATGTGCATCTGCCAATGGAAAGTAAGCTCAGCTGTTGGATTGTCTATTGCCCTTCTTAGATTTTGCACCTGCAAATGACTTCTTTTTCAGTAGGACATTTGTACAGATACAACAACTATATGATTTTCTAAGGACTTTTCCAAGGAGACTAGTTTTTCAAAATTCCTGGAAAGCATTATAAACAAAGCAAATGCATGCTTACCATTTAGAATGACAATAGTGAAGGGACAAAAAAAATCTCCCACTTATTCTAATAGAGTAGCATAAAGAGGCTGCACGAACATAAATACGCATAAAATATGAAATAAAAGAAAACAATGTAAAACACTATTAACATAGAAATTAAAAAGGCAATTACACAAAAGGAAAAACGTATTCTGGGCACAATGCATTTAAGTGAATAAATAAGGAAATATTCCAGTGGTATGTTTATATATGACATGAATTCAAGATGACAAATGGCCCAAATGTTCATCTTGTATAGCTGGAGGATAATAAAGCCAGGAAAACAAACCAAAGCAAAGAAAGGAGAATATTTGTTTCAAATGTCTGAGATACCAGCTTTTCAACTCCCCTTCCATAATTTTCATTAGAACACTTCACAGCTAGTGTCATTACCCAGTTATGAACTATTCTGTAACTAAAATCAATCTAGGAATCTCTGCTATGCACATACCTTTAAGCACAAGTGTGTGCTCTAGGAGCTGTTCCTATCTTCTGGATTAGTCTCTTTCAAACTGACCCAGACATGGCAGAAGCTTCCACACATTCCAGCAGATCCTCTGTCTGGACAAAGAACACAGCAAGCCCTCTGGATAATGTTCTTGGTCTGCAATGTAGACAAGACCTCCATTATCCATGCACAGTGTTAGTCAGTATTCATTCAGTCAGTTTATAATATGCTTGCAATTGAGGCTGTAAGTGCTGGGAATAGGGAAAGTGTAGTAGTTTTGAGGTTTCATTAAAATGGCCACCTTCAACATCTTTAACCAAGAGTCGATGACAAAAAATCCTGGAGTACAATTTGAGAGCAAATGTTGAGTCAAATTTACTCTACAATGGCACACCAACAGCATGCTGCCTCTGTCCAAGTTGAAAAAAAGCAACCAAGCAGCAAGAAAAAGATAAGCAAGAAAAATGCCTCATCAAAACTACTTACAATGCAAAACATTATAAATGAAAATATGAGTCAAATATTAATTCCAAAAGGCATCTGCTCCTTTAAAAATAAAAACTGGGAAAGTACAGGCAGTTTTGTTTAAAGCAATCAGTAGTTATGTTACCACGGAAAACCTACAATTATGTATAACTGACTGGATATCAGCTGGACAAGATAAAGGGAATATTTTTGTTCAAGAGGGGGAATACAACATTTTGATGCAATGCTATCAGTCAAAATCAGAACTGCTCTTTGTAATTCAAGATGGTATGAAGCAAATTTCAGGAGCAGAATTAACCCCATGACAAAATGAAATTGTTGTTTCTCTGGAATTTCAGTCTCCACTGACCACATTTCTATTGGCTATGCAAAAACATGGGATACTTTCTATCATAACCAACTTTGGAGAAGACTGGATGGCTTCGTAACCACAACATATCTCAGCAAATGTAACAGAAGTCACCAACAAGAATAAATATCTTTCTGCTGGGTATAAGGAGAGAGAGAGAAGAGTGTATTGTATTCTCACCCACACAGAATTTATTAGGGACCCATTCATAGAAAAACAGCACAAAGCAGGAGGAATCTCTTTGTGACACTTTGAAACACCTTGGATGCACTGATCATATGCCAATTTTTGCTCTGGAATGCAATGCATTGAAAAAAAGTTGAGAAATGCTGACTGTTCCACATTAATGTAGCATTAACACTGTAAGCTGACTTAACAAAAATTGGTGCCAACAATCAAGGTGTGACTACACTGGAAGTTACAAAGCAATTGTCTAAGAATGACATGAAGTTTCTCCAAAAAAAACCAAACCATATATATAGAAGTCCTAAACAGTTTAGTCCTAAAAAGTCCTCAAAAATTTACTTAACTACTGAAGTGCAGAAAAACTGAAGACTCTCCAAACAATAAATTATATAAACAGTGAAATAATGTATTTTTCCACAGTTGCCACATTAAAGATCATGGTAAATTTATGTTACTGGCACACAAGAAACAAAACCTTTGAAATACAACAGTGACAAAGACTTCTTAGAAGATGACAAGGGATGATTACATCAGACATCGTTGGCAGCAATAGAATTTGGTCAGCAAACAACCAGACGACTTACACGCTGTGATTATCTTCAGGAGAGACTGAGAAATAACTTCAAGAGAAAATCAGAGAGATAGAATTATAGCAGGTCATTATTGTACAGCTAGCAGGCAATGTACTCTGAGAAAAACTTAAAAACAAAACTTGAAATTGGCAATGAAAAGAGGATATTAAGACATGAATAGATCCCAGCTGGTGGTACAAGCTGCCTTAACAATCATATTACCCTATTTTTTTTTTTTCTTATGTTTTTTTTCCCCAGTAATATTGCCTAACACAGTATGTAATAGTTTTACACTATTTTTTGAAAATTAAGAACCACTACAGTTAGCCTGTGGCTATTTGCACTATTTGCTGGTATGTATTAACAGGCCCACCAGTTGCAGCCAAACAAGTATGCCATTTTCTCTCCAAATCCATTACAATGCATGAAATCCAGTGTGGTGTTAAGTCATCAGTTTGTTACAAAGCTGTAAAACTGCTGGACACTGTAACTGTTTCCCACAGTTAAAGATGTACACATACCCAAATCTCTTTCTAATGTACAAACAAAGGATATAAATAAACTTGATTTTGGTAAAGCTTTCGTGGAACAGCTGCCTGATTTCTATGTATAAGGATTTCAGGAACAGTGGTGATTCCCACAGCTACAGTTTGTTAAAAGGAGAAACCCCATTGTACAGTGAGGGGTGGAGCAGAATGCTTTAGAACTGAATTATACAGCCATAGAATTTTGTGCAGAACCCAATCCACGTAAGAGAAGAGCAGTGAAAAATCTAAGCTCACAGATACCTGCCGCTTGGTTTGATACATACAACCAGCTGTACTGAGCGTTTTAACATCAAGGCTTTATGTTTGATAAGAAGTTTTGCAACACTAATAGTTATATATAAGAGTCAGTTTCTGACATTCCTTGCACTCTAGGACTTGCTGTTCCACGAATGTAACTGAGGAAGGGTGGCAGAACTAATTTGTTAAGAGCAGCCGATCAAAAGTAGTTGTATTCTTGCAGTAGGTTATGACTAAAGCAACAGGCCATAAATAAAAACCTTCTCATATGAATGACACCAATACAGCAGCAACAATAAAACCTTGCACAGCTGCTCCCAGGGATATAAGTCTACTCTGAGACTTGTTAGGTGCTATTTTCACTTGGCTACTGAAATGCTTTAGAATTCCAGCAAGTCATCCAGTTTCACTGTCATTTTTCTGGCAATAATTAAATGATGATAATGACTAGAACTACCTCGGTAAGGTGACAAATTGGTGAATATAAAGGTAGGTGCATCTGGCTCTGGAAAAGTATGCTTTTTAAAATATACTATACATCACCTATCCTCAGCAGCTGAAAAACTTTCACGCCAGTATAACCATGTCAACAGAATAAAGCTTTTCCTCGCACACAAATATTACAAGAAAATTTTCCTCTTTTACAGATAGCACCACAGAGCAAGAATTTCCAGAAAACAGCCAGTGATGGCTGCTAGCAATTTGTGCCTAGTTTCAAAAAACAGGACTTAACTACAATCCTTGTGAATGATCCAAATCTGGTGACAGCTGTACAACCAACACTCGCATCTGAATGCTGATCCATGCATTTCTTCTCCTGAACTTCGGTGTTCAATTAAGGGAGCCTTACAGTTTGCTCAGCATTTCTTTTACTGCGTCGGGCAGAGTAAAAGAAATGCAGCATAATCATGAATCAAGCCCTATTGTTTAATAGGAACCAATCATACCAGCCTTCCTAGAACAATGTATGACCCGTAAGCTCACACTTGGATTCAGAAATAATGCCCATTTGTGGGCATGCATTCATTATTTATTTGCTTTCTCGAGCATAAGAGCACACTGGGAAGAAGTAACAGATAGATAGGTTCATGCTACAGCATGAACCAATGTGAAAACAGTTGTATCTTCATTTGTATTCAGTTTGCCTACTGTCAGATTAACAACCTTCAATTTCCATCAGTCCAAACACGGAGAGTACATTTTTCTTAGCAAAGGTCAAATTCTAAATTCTTTGAACATCTTAGCCTGTTACCAGTGAGTAAGCATTAACCGGACTTAGTTCTGTGCATGTCTTGCTTGCTCTCTGAGTAGACTGAAAAGAGGCTACATCTGTTTACTTTTAGTAACATAAAAACCAAATGTCCCTGCTTTCTGAATCAGAAGCAAATTAAGAACCTTTACAGAAGGGTAAAGAAAACTTCCACTGAAAATCAGCACCACATAAGACATAAAAGTCAGAGCAAAACGGTACCTACTGGAGCTTTCTCGTGAGACACAAACCTGACAGAGAGATGCTGTACAGCTTCCTGAGGACAGCAGACATCCATGTTTCAAAGCACGTTCTCTTCAGCCCTGAAGCAAAGGCCAGGGTGATGCATTCGTTGCTACATCAACTGTGAAGCTGCTCAAACACAAGGAGCAGATTGGAAGCAGCACCCCAAGTCCTGCTCAACACAAGAAAGAAAGAACTCACTGAGTAGACAGAACTTTTCAAGACATATATTTATAAAGAATGTCAAGAGATCAGCCTACAAAGGGCAAAAGATTGCCAAAGAGGCATCCCAATATCAAATGCAATTAAAGACAATGATTCTCATTGTTACACATCAAGCAATGAGTAGATGTCAGGTTTTGTTAGACTGACAGAGTAGAAATACATAATCCTAAAAGTACACAAACACTCAGTTGTAGGCCAAAATTTAAATCTAAATTTTGGAAATAATCAATAATCTTCATAATGTCAGAATAAAATAACAATGACATACATCCAGACTGGAAAGTGATTAAATCCAGTATTTAGAGGGGGTCTATGGAAATGACAGGGAGGGACTCTTTAGTAAGGACTGCTTTGACAGGAAAAAGAGTTTTTAAACTAGAAGAGAGTGGATTTAGATTAGATGCAAGGAAGAATATTTACTCAGAGGGTGGTGAGGCACTGGCACAGGCTGTCCAGAGAAGCTGTGGATACCCCATCTCTGGAAAAATGCAAGGCCAGCCTGGATGGAGTCTTGGGCAGCCTGAGCTGATGGGGGTTGTCCTGACCCACAGCACGGGGTTGGAACTGGGTGAGCTTTCATATCCCTTCCAACACAACCCATTCTATGTACACTTTTATATGCGGTCTTACAAAATAACTATGATTACAAAGTTACAGTGTAATATGTTAAAAGATAGCCCAAAGCACTTCTCAAGATCTTCTAAAATTATTTTAAGCTTCATGGTGATATTCAGACTTCCGGCAGCTTTAAGACTTGGTGGGAAAGAAACAGTTTTGCTGTGGACAAGTCATTAGTTCATGACTCTCGGTTGACACCGAGCACTTAGCATCATATTTTCAGACAATAATAAGGAGAACTCATTATGTGCTAGGGCTACCTATTTGCAGTTCTCTTTAAGGTTTAGTGAATGTCTTTACGTGCTTATTTAATAGAATGGCCTGGGTTGAAAAGGACAACCAAGATAATCCAGTTTCAACCCCCTGCTATGTGCAGGGTCACCAACCAGCAGACCAGGCTGCCCAGAGCCACATCCAGCCTGGCCTTGAATGCCTCCAGGGATGGGGCATCCACAGCCTCCTTGGGCAACCTCTTCCAGTGCCTCACCACCCTCTGGCTTAAAAACTTCCTCCTAATATCTAACCTAAATCTCCCATCTCACTTTAAAACCATTCCCCCTTGTCCTATCACTATCCACACTTGTAAACAGCCATTCCCCTTCCTGTTTATATGTTCCCTTCAAGTATCGGAAGGCCACAATGAGGTCTCCCCGGAGCCTTCTCTTCTCCAAGCTAAACAAGCCCAGTTCCCTCAACCTTTCCTCATAAGAGAGGTGCTCCAGCCCTCTGATCATCTTAGTGCCCAGCTCTGGACCCACTCCAAGAGCTCCAGATCTTCCGGTACTGGGGGACCCCGGCCTGGATGCAGGGGACAATCACCTCCTTCTCCTTTCTGGCCACCCCTTTTTTAATGCAGCCCAGCACACAGTTGGCCTTCTGGGCTGCAAGCACACACTGCTGGCTTGTGTCCAGCTTCTCTTCCACCAGGAGCCCCAAGTCCTTCTCCGCAGGGCTGTTCTCCAGATCTTCCCCCAGTTTGTATAAACACCTGGGATTGCCCTGACCCAAGTGCAGCACCCTGCACTTCACCTTATGTGCTTGTATTCAAGTTTGTGTGGGCAAAAGGGAGAAATCAACATTTTTATTTGTAATTAAATATAATTATGTAGGTATTGTGGAAATGAAACTTTACCTCCTATGGACAACATACGTTGAATGACAACAAAATACAACCTCTCAGGTCCTTTTCTTTCATCCTTCCCTAACCTAACTTTGCTCCAGCATTCAAACAGAATATTATTTACTCCCAGAAAGAATGAAGTCCCCATGTCCCCTCAGCTGGGAATCCCCACAGTATCAGGGAGTTTACAAAGCATAACGAGCAGCACCATAATGATCACAGCAGGACTGTGTCTAACGAACATCACATCATATTTACTCCAACCACATCCTAGGATTTACTCAAAATTTGTCACTTGCTTTCTTCAATAAAATCTTCTTTTGTTTTTCAGTATCAAGAGCATAGGAACTTGCTGTAAGTCTTGCTTTTCCTTCCCTAGCTCTCACATCCACGCTCTTTGTTGTGAGCCTCCCTAGCCCTAACACAGTTTCAAAGGCTCAGAGCTGCACTTCACACAGGACTTCAACGCCCAATTTGCTCATTCACTCCTTCATAGACAAGCTTTCTTTTCTATTCACGCCAAAGTGCTTCCCATCAAATCCGACACCCTATTTCTTCCTCCTTCCTTGCTACAATCACTCATATCAATTCTGACTGAACATACTTTAAGGAGCACATGAGCATACTTCATAAGAAAACTCACAGAACAACCTACAATAGGCAATACTTGTGCAACCGAGTGCCCCGACACAGAGCTGAGCAGCAGGCACACAGGTGTGTTTGCCTACAGACTCTGAAGAGAACAAACACCAGTTGTGGTTGTGACAAAATGATGTAACCTGAATTAGGACTTTCTCCTTATCAAATAGGCCAAATATAATGATATGCAAACTTTATTTTCATGTAACATTCATGTTAAAGAGAGATGCAAAACCTGAAATTCCAAACAGTGCTCCCGGAGGGAAAAAAAAAGCAAAAGACTGACTTTCTCTCAGTTCAGTTAGGCAGATGAAAGCTAACGTGACCAGTCAAAGCCAGTCTGACTGCAGGGATGGCAGACTTGTTGTAGTATAACAGGTGGGAGCCTGAACTCTGACTCTAACCCTTCACAGTCAGACTCACCAACACTGGAAAAGGGAATGCACACGCCTCACTGCTCTTCCTATATTTATCTAATACAAATTGATGTCACAACCTGTACCTCAAATACCTCCTCTCATGAATTATTCCCCTTCATTAACTCCACACATCTCCTAAGCAGCACAAGTCAGCGGAGGAAGCCTTATCACCCGCTCTGAATGATCGCACTTGACAGTCCCTCTGTCATCATTAAGGCAACATATGACTCAAGCAACATATATATACGGAATTTACAACAGCTTTCTGTTAACAGTCAGATACACATCCTGCCAATGTCATGCTAAGATTAAAGCTTTATATTCCAGTGCACTCCCTGGAGTGCTGCCTGGATACCTCCTGATGTAAGCACAAAATTTGCTCTCACCTCCATAGCCCTTCCCTTATTTACAACTATTCTACCAATCCCCAATGCTGTGGCAAGAAGTTAGGCGAAAAGTCACCCCAAATAACAATCTTGTGTTTTAAACAGATACGGCCAAAAGAAAATTGCGTATTGTTAACTACTTTGTCTTAAATTGGCTGTGTATTTCAAGCCCTCTGCCCTTAAGGCAGGTTTAGTTTCCTCTTAAGGCTTGGCTAGTACCAAATCCAACATTCCAACATCGTTTCCGACGGAGAAAGAAACAAAAGCTCCTTGAATCACAATTTGACCACCTAGGTCTACTCCCAAACATTTATAATGAAGGAAGACTGGCTTCTGTTGCTGCCCTAGCCCAACCCCAAATCACCTATTTGTTTATGCTCACCTGTTTCCCTAACAGCCATCCTGAGGCGAGCAGTACAGCACTGCTGGCTCTTCTGTTGCTGACACCTGCTTGTGGGCTTGTTACAATGTCTTTAGTTCTCCACTATGCCCTCCTGCATTTGCTGCAACTGTAATTCATCTTTCTTGTACTTAACCATCCACCCGAAGCCTGCTAGAGAGCCAGTCTGTAATTACTTAGTCATAAATAACCAGGGAAGGAGACAAAAAGCTTCTAGAATGATTAACTGGCATTATTTGCTTGTAGCTCATGCTGCTGGGCTGTGCTATGGGCAATACTGGAGCAGAACTGCGCGGGGGATGATCCTGCAGATACTTCTATCTCATTGTAGGGTAACTACAACGCACAGCAGCAACAGGTAGAGCGGCTCGGAGCCCGGTAACCACACACCCCGATACGGGCGGCCGCCACAGCGCTGACTGGAAAAGCCCAACGGTCGCGCCTCGCGCTCAGCCCTGCAGCGCGCGAAAAGCACAACAACCCACACAATGGCCGCCCCTCGCAGCGCGTGGGAAGCGCATGCGCAGCGCGTGATCGTGCCTAGCCACGTGACTTCCTGCCACTTCCGCCCTCCCTGTGCTGCTCCGTGCCCCGCCCAACCGGAAGTGCTGCTCCGTGCGTTCCGGCGGTTCCGCCGCTCTACGGCGGGAGGCACGGCCGATGTCCGCTACCGGCGGCGCTGCCGTAGCCGGGGCCGCGCGGAAGCCGGGTGCGGGGGTCCCGGCGCAGAGGCGGAGGAAAGTCCACGGCAAGGTACCGGGGAGGGGCCGGCCCCTGCTGCTGCTGTTGGCGAAGCGGCAGCCGCGCCGGGAATGCTCCGTGCTGGGTTTGGCCTGGCCGCGGGGCCGTCCCGAGGGAAGCCCGGCTCCCCGCCGCGTGGGGCCGAGAGCTGCGCTGCGACATCAGGACTTCTCTTTCCCTTCGGGCTCTCGCGGCCCGCAGCTGTCGCTGTAGACGCGTTTCTTGCCTTCTTTCTCTGCTCCTACCTCCGAGAGTTGACGCAGCCCTTGCTCTGCTCCACACGTACTTTTCTTTGCACGTGCGCTTCACTGTCCCGGTCCTCATCACTGTGTCCTGCTTTAGTTTGTTGTCTGTAAATGCTCATTGCTGATTTCACAGGTGTCAGCACCCGCCTCTATTAAAGCACCAGGCTGCTGGAGCCCTCTCCTGTTTCAACCAAAGAATTAAAGGCAAAGAGCCGTGTATTCCTCCCAAGGTGGGGGGAAGGAAGAAGTACAGCTGAAGCTTCTGCTGAGAGGTTTTACAAATGAACTGAGTGAGTCACGTTAAGTCACGCAGCTGGTGCTCAATGCACACTCCATCACGTTGGCCCCGTGGTGCTTCAGGAGCACGGTCAGCTGGCAGAGCAGCTGCCTGCCGAGGAGAGCCATGTAACACTTATCTTCTCCTTTATAGAAAAGAAGCTGTCATTTCTTAATTAGAACATCCAACCGAGAGCTCAGACTTCTGATGCGTCTGCAAACGCTGACAGTTCAGAACTACTTTTCTGTTTATCATGTGTGCTTCCTCATCTGCACCCATCCACCAGAGCGGAGTCAGTTGCAAGCACGCGTTGTGACATTTGCAGCAGGTTTGGTGCATGGCCTGCAACAGACTTATTGAATCTTATTATTGGGTGTTGACATACTGCTGTTAAAAACGTGCTCAGCTGCAATGAGCTTTACTCATACAGCATTCCTTGTATCGTAGTGCAAAAGAAAGCATGCACTTAGTGACAAAAAAAGTGACTAGAGTATAGCTGGTTTACTAATACACTAAAACAGCCTGAGAAATCAATACAGAATGTCTTATTAACTCATTACCTTAAGCTTTTCTGCACAGATAACTTGCTTAAAAAAAGGAGCTAATTTTGCTTTATTTTCAGAAGGAGACTCACCTTCTTCCCTTCCCTCCCTTTTTCCTTTTAAACTCAAGTCTTTCTAAAACTGTGCCTGCCTATTCGGGGCTCTTACTGCCTTAAGAATTAATGCTCTTACACTCTGCTCCATCTCAAACAAGTTGTAGAATTACACTTAAAAACTAGTTTACTCTCTACAGCCAAGCATTATCACTTATATTTGGAATGAGTGAATCACTCAACAACCACACGTCCTACGCAACACCTTTACATTGCTGTGCATACAGTTTAATACATGGAAATGTGTCATGCAGCTGCTTCAAGTACATGCATCTGGTTAGAAAAACTAAGGCATTACAATCAAGGGGATTTCTGCTGCAAAAATACACTCCCAACAATGGCTTTTCAGATTGCTCTAAAAGGCCTCTACTTGTTCTGTGAGGAGCTTTTGCTGCTGTGATCATACCTCTGTATTCTGGTTAAATTTACACATTTCATTTTCATGTCACTGGGTTGTTTGTGCTGCTACTCACCTGTATTTTATTAGAAGTAGTATCCTAGACCATCTTTTCCCACTCTACAACTGACTGATGCTTTCATTCATTAAAAAGATGTGCTATCCTGTTCAGTGGTTAGAACAAGTAACAACACTCTTGATTTCTTTGTGTCAGAAGATGAATTCTTTTCCTTTGGTAGATATATTTTTCCCATTATGTTGTAGTAGAAAATAGCAAAAGATTGGCTCAGCCTTTGATGTTTTAGGGCCAACACTGGATTTGTAACAAATTTTGGCACAGGCAGGACCACTCTGCAGTAGCTAGCTTAATATTTTATAATTTTGTGTTTAAGTAAGTTTAAATGATTGCCCCGTATTTATATGATGTGGGTGTAGCAGTCAGACAGAAAGAGCTGCATGCAAAGGCCATTCAACCACAAGTGCACACATCCTTACATGTACCACAGGTGGCCATTTCCTGGAGATGCTCATATTCATTCAGGGTGCTGATTCACACCTGTCCAGGCTTTTCTTTGCTCTCTAGGAGTACACAGGAAGAGCACACAGGAAAGAACTGGTAGCTGCTGGATGTAGATCACCAGCTGGCATCAGACAGCCTGTGCAGCCTACCTTCAGCAGCCTTTTTTTCCCCTGAAACTACATGGAAAGCAGATGGATGAGTTGTTCAGCCATCAGACAGGTCCTCTGGGCACTCTCCTTGAGCAGCTGGGAGCGTGCCAGTCAGAGGCATGAGAGCACAGCAGGCTGCTGTTGAGCAAATCATCCACCTCACCTCCAGATTGCCTTTGATAAGGCAATGCTGCTGAATGGATACTTAGAATGGCTGGTAAAAAATTGCCTCTGAAAAGGGAATGAGTGTATCTAGGCTAGAAAGCTATAGTAGAATTTAAGAACTGTATCTGAAGCTACTTAAACCTAGTTTGTCAAGCTTACAGTTTGCAGCACAAATCTGATTGATTTTAATGCTTTCTCTAGGGTGATCTTCATAGAAACCACTAAAGACTTCAAAGAACTCATTTTAGGCAAAATAAGTGAAATGAGTTGTTCTGATAAAATGGATCCTTGTTCAGTTGGAGTTCAGCTTCAAGCTACCAATGAATGCCATAAGACCTATTATACCCGTCACACTGGCTTCAAGACTAAGGAAGATATATCTTCATTCGATCTGCTGTTGCTTCAGCTTAGGACTGGGATGACCCTTTCAGAGAAGGACACTATCTGCTTTCATCATGCAAAAATTTACATTGAAAGATTTGAAGACTTACAAAAGTCGTGTTGCGATCCCTTTAATATGCACAGAAAACTATCAAAGAAAAACTTGCGTGCAATTGATCTTCATGACGCAACTTTTCTAACTGCCAAGTTTGGAAGACAGTTTGTACCTGGTTGGAAGCTTTGTCCCAAATGTATGCAGGTAATAAATGGGAGTGTGGATGTCGAAGCTGAAGAACGCCAAAGAAGAAAGCTTGATTCGGACGTATGTATATGGATCAGTTGTCCCACCCCCTCTAAGTTCTGCAGACTGTTGGACCTGGGCTTCATAAAGTCCTATATAAACGAACCAAGTTGTTCAGTAGAAATACAAAAAGGTGTAGACTTTTGCTGCACGGGAGCTTACTGTATTTGAACCTTTGTTTGGAGGAGCGTTCAATGAAATGAGTGCACACACACATTCCGTTTTTTTACTTTAAAAATCCTCTTCCCTAATTAAATATTAGGGACTTTACAATTAATTGTGCACACTAGAGTGACGTACACCTCAGGTTATGTAAATACCAGGCAGCTGCTATTGTCTTAAGCTGTTTCTCAAGCCTTGTGAAAAGCAAGCTCCCGTTTAAACACTGCAATGTTTGTTTTTAAGAGCATTGAGAGAAACTTCTGGGTTAGTCTCCTCAGTTTTAAGAGAATCTACTGTGTCTAGCAGTTCATTACCAAGTGAACCTGCATGGAAGTGAATTAAGTGCACACTGTTGTGTCCAAGCTGCCCTGTTTGTTCAGGGGCAGTTTGGTGTGAGAGGATGATGCTTTAAGTGCTGAGTTCATAATACAGTTTATACATTTCTGGATGCTTTGTTTGAAGTGTGCAGGTAATCAGTAGAACCAAGTGGAAAACCAAGTCAACAAGAGCTCATCCACATATGCTCTAGAGCAAAACAGAATGGCATTCAAGGAGCAGTCGCCCCTCAGGCCAGGCACAGCCATCCAACTGTATCTTACAGCTGCATAACGGGAGACATTACTGACTTTTGGGACTGGTAGAGTTCTGTAATGTAACACTTAAGACGACTTAAGTCTTCTCCTCAGAAATACAGTGCTCAGAGTTGGGGTCAACATACCTAAGTCATTACAATATCCTGGCTTGACTGGGTATTTCCTTAAGAATTTGGATATGTATTCATAGAAAATCTCACTTCATTATCTCTGTTCAGGGGCGTACAGCTAAGGCTTTGAAGTCTCTGCAGTTTGCTAACCCAGGACGACAGACTGAATTCACTCCTGAGACCAGTAAGAGGGAAAAAAGAAGACTGCAAACAAAAAATCCATCATTTAACTCTGACAGGTGAGCACCTTCCTGTAGTGACTTTAAGGTCAGTGTCCCTGTAACTCTAACACACTTCAGACAATGAAAATACAAACTGAGCTTCTGGTAAGACGTGACAATACTACATAGATTATAAATGAAGCTGTTAATTTATGCATCAAAATTTGATCATAGGTCAAACTTGAATAGAGTAAGGTCGAGTAGAGTACACTTAAAATATTGGAGTTGTCATATTTCAATTTACTCAGTAATTACACTTCAGAAACAAACGTGTTCATGTTAAATCCTTACATATTCTAGAACGATTGGTGTCCAAGTTGGATGACACTGGATAACAAATTTCAACTTCCTAATTAGACCTATTTTAAAATCACTTCCTGCAGAGTTAAAGGGTTATGCAGCTGAGTTTTGTCTGTCATTTTCTACTAGAAGTTTGGACCAATTCAGTCTCCCTGAATTTAACCTTACAGGAAAAAAAATGCACTCTGTGCTACTTACCATATGCCTGTACCATCTCCCTCCATAGTTTCTTCTAGTTGGTTCATTCACAAGCTGCAATTAGGGATATTTTGGTGAGATTAGGAAAATGTTTTGAATTAAGGGTGTGGTCAAGCATTGCATCAAAAAATGTCTGGAGTGTCTGACCTTAGAGCTGTTGTCCGCTCAATTAGATGTGGCCCTAAGCAAATTTATCTAAGTTGACATGATTTTAAACAGAGAGTCAGACAAGACAAATTCCAGAGG